GAAAATAGAGTAGAAGAGATAGATACACGAAGATTTATTCTACGTCACTTGCGGCATAAAAGTACGCAGAATCGGCAAAACTACAGCCATCATCACTACACTAACATAAACCGTGAACTTAAAACCCCAATTTATCCTACAACAATTTCTAAAGTGCACATTCAAATGTTCTCGCGTCTCCGTCTTGGTCACACGCGTTGCACCCACGAACACCTTCTATTGGGTAACCCAACACCATCCTGCCCACGCTGCCAATTGGATTTAACTTTAAAACACATATTCTTCGAGTGCACTGCTCTTGAAGGAACTAGACGCCGGTACTTCAAACACAACTGGGTCGAACTACTTAGTAATCCTACAAAGGACAACATAAATTCCATCATCAGTTTTATCAAAGCCATCCAAGTACCTATATAACAGCCGTCTCTGTAAAATTCTCTCATATATTTTCATTTTTCTTTTTGTAGAACTCTGTTACAGTTAAGTAGAACTGATAGCCTTGGCAGCTAATGCTCAAAATTTATATTAACTTGTTAATTTATTTAATATTGTTAATAAATAATAATAATAATAATAATAATATATGATTTCTGGTTCACATATTCGCCGTTAGTTTTTTTTTTGTTTAATATTTTCAGTCATGTGAGAGGCCGTGGTGAGTTTATTTATCGACGACGTTAATTCCAATTGTTGCTTTTTAACGGCTTGGTGTTGTCTCACATCCACTATTGCCTTTTCCAAGGTTAAATCGGTGACTAACTGAAGTTTTTCAGATAGTTTACGATCACGTACGCCAACGACGAGTTTGTCGCGAATCATTTCGTCTCTCAAAGCCCCGTGATTGATTTTCGGATAACAAATACAAGTCTGTGATGAAGTCCTCTATCAGCTCACCCTCAAGTTGGCTTCTAAGGTTAAACTTCGCTTTTTCATATATCACGTTGGTTTTAAGTACACAGTGCTTGGTAAAAGCCTCTAATACCTTGGAGTATACTTTCTTTTCCGCCGCGGACAACGTGAAGGATAAAAAAATATTATCGGCCTGATCTCCCATCAGATAGACCAATGTGTTAATTTGTTCCTCTTCCGATGCATTGTTCAATTTCGAAGCTATGCGGAACCTTTCAAATCGACGAAGCCACTTAGGTCACTCGCCAGGATTGCTGAAAGAAAATGCATCAGGGGAGCGCACAGTAACGCTGCTGGTGCTGGTCCCAACCGTGACCCCGGATCCTCCATCTGTCGGCATTATTAGATTGTATAAAGGATCTCGCGCTATCTCGACCGTTTAAAATCTATGTTCTTTACTTTATTTGATTTCTGTTGCGTACCGCGTGTCGATTCTTTAAACCGCTGCCACCATGTCAGCTATACATAAAATGTAATACAAGAATCGTAGGTAGAGGAATGCATGATAACTACTGTACATGTGTATGCAAGGAAGGAACGTACGATACCTATTGTACGTACATACATACTAAAGAGCTGCGCAAAACCTTCTAAAAGGCACACTTTACTACTATGCAGTACTTCCAAGCGGCGTACTACAGGTAGCGTTAACAGCAACACAAAATATTCTATAGCAAGCTGCGCAACAATACAAACACTTCAACATTCGAAATAGAATTTGCTACAGCGACGATAGCGCTTGAGTTTTGGGGTGAAGCAAATTGTAAAACCAAAAAGAAGGGTTGAAGTAAAATAGCGGCAAATCATAGCAAGACAACCGAGTGCACTAGAACATTTGCATGTATGTATAGCAACTCATTACCAATTGTTAGCGCAAGCCACGCAGTTCGCAGTCAACGTCAAGACCGTAATTAATAAAAATGCATATTTTGAAACTGTGTGTTTTTTTTTGTAAATACATACATAGATACATAGTATATGTACATATATGTAGGAGCAGGCAAAATCGCAGATGCTTAGCCAAAAACAAGACAAAAAAAAGCGTGGTAAAAAGGAAACATATCACACTTCATTTAGGTAAGCACGCCATAACACTTCTGCACTTTTGTTTTTGTTAAACACTTTAGTATAGGAAGTGCGCGGTCCCATATGTATGTACATACATACATCCATATACATATACATTTGGGTATGCACTTATGCAAAGCAAGAATTCGCTGTCGCCGCTACTTCCACTGAGTGATGCGCGCACTTCCATTTGAAAAATTTCAGCATCGCATTTGTTCTACTTCCATTTTCTTCTGCTTCAGTTTGGTTCTACTTCAGCTTTGTTCTGGTGTTCTTTTTCCTATCGTGCGGCATTTGTTCGTATGACAAAACCTTTCGTGAGTGTAGCAGTTGCTTTGTTATGGGAGTGAAGGAGAGGTACAGTGCTTAAAATGAGAGCCGATGGCTTGCAAGCGATTTATGTAGTGCTTGTGCAGCTGTTTAATACATACCTATGTATATATACCGAACAAATACTTTCAAAGACTCACCGACATAGACAAATCTTGATAATTTTATGAAGAGATGAAATTACGATACATGAAATCAGCAACGTGAATACAAAACCGCAACACGTGATATTAATGGTTATAAGGTTTAAATAATTAAATTTAAATAGGTATATATGGGAGGTTTATAAAGATTAATCGATTATACCTTTTGCCTTTCCATCGCTTATATAAATAATTTATCCTGCTTTTAAAAAATAGCTTTTTCACATTTATTGGAAGATGTGTTTCATGGCTGTGGGATAATAATTTTTCAAAGACGTTGGTGGTACAAGAAACTACTTCGCCATTAAATCTTTGAAATATCCAACTTATTCAGCCTAACCTGTTCCGCTGGTGAATGAAACAATCGGACGCCTTCGTAAGTCCAAGTTTTTTTGCAAGTTACACGGCTTGGCTTAGGCATTATTAATTTTTTATTCACAAATAAATTATATAGTATTTTTTCACAAAAATTCAAACGAAAACTTTTAGAAAAAAACAAATTTTCCACAAAAGTTCAAACGGAAAGTTTTAGAAAAAAACAATGTCGCAAGCAAATAATAAATGGCCATATTGCCCCCAAAATATATGTAAATACTTCCAAAGAAGCAACACATAAAACGAAATATAAGGCAGTCGAATGTCAGAAAATGAACAGAGAATGCTGCCTTATTACTTACTTCACCTGTTTATTGCGCCATGGGTTTTACCTTATAATGTTTTTATCATGGCAACAATCGCCTGGTGCAAACGGCCTTTCAACTAATCTCCTTCAATGAAGTTGGTCGGCTGCCTACATCACAGTATAGACAGTAGCCAACCTTTTTGGGTTGTTGTTGTAGTAATCGGTGTTGTTGTAGCCTTATTCACCTTTGAGGAAGACAGTGGGTTGTGTGCTGCTATTTAATGGCCTTCCTCAGACTTTTTCTTAGATTTCAGGGTTGTGTGCTGCATTATTATTTGATAAATAATTTTAAGCATTTGGCAAATCGTTATTTTATTGAAAGAAAATTATAAATGGTGTTGAAAAACCAAACAAATGCTCTTGCGAAAGCTCTATTTTTGTGTGTTGTTAAAATTTATACATGGCGATATTGAAGGTAATACAAGCAATGTATTCATTTGTGGATTTGATGTTACTTGAGAATTTAGGCAACGTGCAAGCTGCCAGGTTCTGTTATCAATATAACTAACACAAGCTTTTCCGTGTGGTTGCCTTTATATAAATAGAATAAACAAATATTCGCAAATAAATTTGATTTATTTAATAACTGAAAATAAACGTATGCTTTTTGCTCTTTTCCAGACTCCATTTTTATTTTGACTCTTTATTACCGCTATCAACTTTGTATGTATACATATTTACAAGCTGTCAAAATTTCGCTTAGTCACACAAGCTAGGTAAAAATTGTGGCGTTCGTATTCACAACGAGTAATCTCAAAATTTTTGTTTGATCTTTCCAAATTTTCTCTTTTTTATCAGTTGGCAAAGGCCAACCTTTTTGGGTTGTTGGCAGCGTTGAGATAGTAATTCCATGTCAATTAGTAGAAAAGTTATATGGCGAAAAAACTTATGGTGCGAAAATTTTACATTTCTGCTGTGCCAATTCGCTTCTTTTTATTGCTGGAAATTTTTGGCTCTTGCTCTGGTGCAAAAGAAGTTGAGCAATTAAAATGCAGAAATTATACAAAAAATACTTGTCTTTACTGACTTTGATTCTTCTAGAACTAAAAGCCATGCATTTATTAGACGTCTTAGTAATAACATTAGAACAAAAAAATGGTGACAGGTAATAAGATCAACGGAAATAAGGTCAAATTATTTCTCACCCTGGGGCGAAATAAAGTCAATTGACATTATTACCTTTTTAAAAACGAAATAAAATCAATTGACATTATTTCTCTTTCAAACATCAAATTTGCTTAGCCACGTCACGCTACGCCGGGCCCGGCCCCCCCTTCCCCGTCTCCCGCCGTGCTGTAACGCAGGTAGATTTATTTTTTGTATACGTTGAAATAAAATTTTTATATATTTTAAACATCGAGGGCTTATATTCAATAATACCCTCTATCTGCACACTTTTCACAAAGATGAGATTCTGATATAAAAATCCACCCAAGCTTTAACTGTCATCGGTGATATTAATGCTACCTTATATAACGACAGGTAATAAGTCCCAGGTGGTTTCTAAAATCACAAATTAGTTTTTGTGCAAATTGCAGATAGAGGGTATTAATGAATTCAAGCCCTCGATATTTCACATTTTTATATTTGTAAGTTATTGGAAG